CATGCAGAACGGGACGGAAAACATGAAATTTTGCAATAATCTTGCGCCACCCTTGCACAAAACGACAATAATTTTTCAAATTTCATAGACAACAGAAGACTGCATTTTTTCTACATAACCCCCCCCCCCTGACTTTAAAGCTGGATCTGCCCCTGAATTTGGCACAATTTCAGTAAAACTATCATGATTTGCTGATTGCAGATGCCAAATTATTCGCTTATGTCTCCAAAGCCAAACAATAAAAAGAAAAAAATTACCTAAGAGAATTGGTGCCAACAGCAAATAATCCCAAAAAGGCCTCATTTTATTGGTCAATAAATCGGAGAACATCGCCAACGTTGGTTGGCCAACCAGTCACGATTTCTTCGTTATACCCACCAGAGTTAGCACTGTTTCATATTCTCATTCTTGTCTAACTCGCATGGCTTATAGCTGGGCAGACGAGACAGCATTAGCTCGACTAGTTCAGGTGATTCAGGCACGCCCATCGACCCCCCAGACGATCCAAATCACCCTTATTATAACAGCGAGATCTACAAGGTACGTATCAGCTCACCAAAAACCTTCACATTTCTTGAGTTAAAATATGTTCACTGAATTATGAGGCACTGAAAAACACTCGAACAATTTACTACCCGGTGAGTAGATGGCCTCTTTCGATTGGCTCTAGTGTTGCATCATTAGCGAGTGATTTTTGAAACTTGTACTGTTAAGGCATGAAATGCACGCTTTGGGCTCGAGTGTTTGTGCATTTTGTACGTATTAATGCGTTCTTCCCTAGGACGATCTGCCGGGTGGCATAGTGAAGACCGAATCGGTGATGTACAGTGGCGATCCGACAGTGTTCCGCACCTCCACCACCAGCGTTCCGATTGTGGCGACTGAGGCTCGAAAAGTGCAATTATCTTCCGACGACGGAAACTACACGAAAACGGGCGAAATCGTCAGCACACAAACGATCAGTTCGAAAACGAGAACAGTCGAAACTATTACGGTAAGTGTGGGTAAACGACGCATATTTCTCACTTTTGTTAGGCAAACTGCGTTGGTTTTGCATAGGGTGGAATTTCGGATCATTGGGAGTTTTCAGTTTTAAGACCCGCTTTAAATCCATATGTATGGAGCGTATTTCAAAAAGTTAATGCAAACTTTTTCCAGAACAATGGCACACAGTCCATAATCAAATAATAGACTAAAGCCCATGTCCCATGCATCCGTTTGTACGATGATACGATGGTAGGAAAGTGTTTCTATTGGTTGGAGATCTGTCAATTCGTCCTCCGTTCGTAAGACAGCGGTCGAATTGACAGATCTCCAACCAATAGAAACACTTTCGTACCATCGTATCATCGTACAAACGGATGCATGGGACACGGGCTTTAATGATGAATAGTGCACTAAGTCCAAATAGTTTAGAGTGAAAGTAACTTCGAAACAGAAAACGAAACTCTGCTGCAAACTGTTCAGTTCTAACTCTAAATCAACTAAGTCGGCTACAGCGGTGCCGCTGTTTTTACTTTCAGAAGCGCTAGCGCTGCCTTTTGGTTCGTTTTT